TGAGTCAGTTCGTCGCTGGTCTGCTGCCCACCCTGATCATTAGCACGACACAGGACTCGTTCACCTGCATCGAGTCCGCGAGCGTGGACTCTTTGGCCGCCGTCGCTGATGGGGTGCAGGAGGTCATCAACGCGCTCCTGCGCCTCGGGGCTCCGAGCGCGCCCCGCCCGGAGACAGGCCCCGCGCGCTGCCTGCGGGTCTCCGAGGCCACGAGGCGCCGCGAACCAGACGAGCTCGGCGGCGAGCAGAGCGACGTGGTGACACACGGCCTGCGCGCGCTCCGGGTGCGCTACCAGTGCGTGCAAGACGTCGTGCACGCCACTAACTGGCTGTACGGCTGGGGCAACCTGATAATCAGCAGCTTCTCGCTGCTGCGGGGAGTGACGTTCCTGTACTGCGGCGTGATCGTCACGATGGCGCACGCCGCCATGTTGGGGGATTTGGGGGAAGATTTTCCCTTTGACGTATCGGATGGAGTCTTCCTCCTGTTCTGGGGCACCGTCCTGATCGGCAAACTCATATTTATCTGCGCCATTGGAGAACAGATGAGATCTGAGGTGAGTCTCGGTGGAGTTGGACACAAGGCTGGTGTAGTTCTGTTTTAGTCAGCCATCCCTTCAGGTCGATTCATTTGCAGAGTTCTAGGATTTCGGACGCCTTGCAGGCAGGGATAACTCGCTACCCAGACATGGATCCTTCAGTCAAACGAGAAGTATAAGTTGTTCCGTTACTCGCACCACTTACAGTGAGCACCCGTGTAGGAGTAGCTTTGAGATCGTCATTTTTACTCCTTCACAGATTCAGTGGTTTATCTGCCAGACACAGAGACAGGAGATTCGATTTGGTGCTTTTGATCTCTGTTACTTTGACTTGACAACCATGAATAGGGTGAGTACACTAGGGATCGTCCAGAAAGCACGTTCGCTTTTCCCAGATTAATTCGGTATTAATTCGGTAATTGATTCGGTGAATGCCCCACCCAGGCTAGGCCAGTCCGAAGTACACGCATGCATTGCCGGCGAGTCGTTGCCTACCTACCAGGCGCTATGAGAGCCTGTAGTGGCTATCAATTTCGCTACGGCAAATAACGAGGCAAATAAAACGGACGTACTCACTGGATGATCTCATCTTGGGCTACGCCCGCTCACTGTAATATTTTCCCCCCTGCCTCGGTTTCACCTGATAATTTTAAATATTTGCTTTGTCTTGTAGATCATTGCTTCCGGTATGACGTGCATCGTCGTTTTAGTCCAATTTTCAGCAATTGCAGCTCACGGACGTAGCCAACTGAAATAACAATCAGATAAAGCTCTGTGAACGGATTTATTGCGGAAATAATGTCGTGGACATTGAAAGATATATTTGACGGTCTTCTGAATTATTCGAGGAGTTGGGTTCGTCGTCTTTGGTAGGTTCGATCCGTGAAATCCAGTTTGTGATACTTTTACTGAATTTTTGCGAAAACTAAAAAAAAATAAATAGGTCGCACAATCTAGCTGCACAGAGCTTGTAGTTCTCCCTAGTTCTCTCAAACATAGGGTCGATCGAGTACTTTTTTTTTCATTTGCCCCCAGCCACGAGATCAGGCGCGTCATGCCATGCGGTGCCGGCAGACTCCAGCACGAAAATTACATAATTTATCGGCTTATGATTACATTGCACAACTTGCGCACGTCCGGCGCTTGGGGGGTATCACTCACTCGCCCACTGTTTCTTACACTGCCGCACACCCCGTGAATAATGTTCGCTGGCCTCGCGCGCCGGAAACCGAGACTGTTAAAAGTTTGCCTAAACCGCTAGCCGGAGGGCCGGGTCGGTACGGGCCGCCGCCCGCGGGTTGGGCCGCCCACTCCCGCGCACCGCACCGCCCCAGCACCGCACTACTGCAGCCGTCGAGACCGCTGGCGGGTACGACCTGCCGCTGGGCCCAGAACCGAACCGGAATGGTCGCTAGCGCTGCCGATAAACGATTTACATTGGGCCTGTGTGTGGGCGTCGTTACAACCCTCAAGCTGAGGCTGAAGGGTGTGTGTGGGTTGTGTGGGTTGTATAAAGGTTGCAGGGGAGGAGTGAAATCACAACCGTCCCTCTAGCCCAATGCGCTGCATTTTCTCTTCTGGAAGAAAGGGACTTTTCCATCAAGAATACATCTTGATTTTCAAACAATTTTAGAAAAACTAATAAAGACATCCCCACGTATTTCGTCCGTAAGAGATGATTGGCTGTTGGGAAACCAAAGCATTATGTTTTTACCGTGTTAAGAAGCTCGGTTGGAAGCATGGATAGAAAAGGGGGCGGGGGTGGATGTTGTAGGGTGTCCTTGCAATAGCCATGGGGACTTGCTTGGTCGTCTGGAGGCGGCGTTGGAGGAGGGGGTGGGGAGGAGAACGGGCGAGTCTGCCGCCGACGCGCCGACGTAAACTCCAGCGCCTGGCCCAAGCGCAGCTAGCGCAGCTCGGTGCGGGACACGATCGGCCGGTCCGTCAGGGCGGCAGACACCGTCGTGCTCTCATTTGTCAATAGTCCCGAGGAGTCGGGAATGGGAAAAGGGGGGGGGGGCAAGCAGTTTGTCTGCCTTCCGGGATGGGGAAGGCGGCCTGCCTGGCCCTCCACTACTGCCGGCGATGTTTGTTGGTGTTGGCGGGCTGAGAACCGGGAGCTGGGGCTGGGGCTGGTCCGCAAGACACTTTGGTCCCTGTGAGACGTGTATCGGTACTAGCATTCCTCTCTCTCGCTCTCTATCTCCTCTTCCACCTTCCCTCCCTCC